ATTTAGGAGTGGAATTTCTTTAAGCTCAAAAGTATCCACAAAATGGTTGAACTTCCTCATACTAGTTTTCACTCTCTGTCTGGGGTTGTTGGTTTCCTCTGTAAACCGCACTACATTAAAATCCCCTCCCACACACCACGGTCCTTCCCAGAGGCTCCTAACATCACTCAATTCCTCCCACAATTTCTTCCTCTGCCTATAGTCATTGGGGCCATAAACGTTTGTTAGCACCCATTCGTACCCATCTTCCACCTATCTGAACTTCAGGGAAACAGAGTAATCACCTATTAGCTCCTCCTCCAAGCCGATTAGTATATCTTCTTTCCACAGTGTTACAATCCCGCCTGAGGATCCCCATGATGGAGCGGCCACCCACTTTATTCCCCTATCCCTTCACGCACTCCTTGCCCATCTGCAATCAAAATCCATTCTTTTAGACACATGGATCATTACCACATCCGGGTTAAACTTCTTAATCACCTCTTTAATTGTTGCTCTCTTCCTAACACTACCCAAGCCCCTCACATTCCAACTTAGAATTCTCATTTTAACTTCTCAAGCTCAACCCCAACTCCTCCACCCTCTACTTAACCCCTTTCCTTGTATCCCCTCTCACCTCAAACTTCTTGTCCCCCTCAATATCTCTTTTCAACCTCTCTACTTCACTCAACTTTCTTTTCTTTAACTTACTATCCTCTTTTTTATGCAGATAAACCTTTAGATCATTTGGATTCTTCAGTTTACACCCCAACTTTGGCACAAATTCTGCAACTGATTCTTCCTTGCTAGTTTCCTACTTATCTAATGTTCCTCTCTTCTCACTCCTAGGGATCTTCTCAATCCTTTCCTTATTTCCTCCATCATTTATCCTTTCTACCCCTTCTGTAAACCCCCTCTGCATTTCCTTCCTCTCCACTTCACCCATTAGACCCTCAATGATTTCCCATATCCTTGTCTCCCTACAAGTTTTCTCAACCACTTCCTCCCCTTCCTTATCCCCTTATATCCTCACTGTGACTTTCTAACCATGGACCTCAAACACTTGGTTGAGAAAGGAATATGGAACAAGGGACACAGAGCACTCATCAGTAGCAAAAACTGAATTGGCAGAGTTAACAGAAATACCCGAGGTCAGCTGAGGGTGGAAAGGGGTATTCAAACGAGGAAGATTGGTTGTCACTCCCTGTTCAGAGAATTTGGAGCTCTCTATCTCCTTGGATTGGAGGAAATTAATCCTCGTCACTTGGTCTGCACAAAGACCTCTTCCTGTACCCAATTGTTTACCCCACTGTGATGTACTCTTGTTCAGTTCATAGTAAACTCGGGCTAACTACTTCTTAGATTCTTGCAAGACACTAGAACTTGGGAGGGGCACGTCCAGCTTTGGGCCAAGGACAGCTCTGTTACAAGTGTTTGTTTCGTTCACCCACTCCTCCCCTTTTTCCTTTTGCTCCCCCACTACCTCCTCAAGAAACAGAAGTTCCAAATTTAACGTTCCCCTGTTTTGATCTTCAATATTATCGTCATTTTCCAAGCTGCCCAAACTTTCAAAATCTTCTAATTTCTCATCACAATCGTTCTCTGAGCTGCAGCTTATCTATCCTTTGTCTTCCTCTTCCCTCTCTTCTATTCTATTCCTCGCATAACGTAGGCTTGGATGATCAAGACCAAGGCTTTTCTGCTCGTCACTGACCTGTCTACATACCCAACTCAGAGTCCGATTACCACCTGTCACGCGCCTATTATGGTGTTTCAAGTGTTCGGCCAAACCCTCCTTAGACGATGATAGATGACAAGTTTCATCTATCATCGAGTTTTCACAAAACCGCCCCACGTGATAACTTAAGTTGTCACGTGGGCCTCTCAAGGTGCAACCGGGTTCCCCTCTTGGCTCACCCCTTTTTCTAGCTGGTTCAGTTTTTGTTACAGCCGGTGCTAAGATGAGAAAATTGCTCCCTGCTTCTCCGCTTTGTCTCTATGGAAAGCAATTCATGAAGTCTATGCAATCTTTCTTAACTCTATCAAGTATGATGTGGGATGGGGTAACAAAATTCGATTCTAGGAAGACCTATGGTTGGGGCCAAGTCCACTTGAAGACCAAATCCATGAACTCTTTTAAATTTCTCAAACTATCTCCAGGTTGGGAACACCCTCTCCAACTAGTTTAAACTAGAATTTAGGGTTTAGAAGGGGATTAAAGGAAAATGAATGTTTGTCCTTGATTCTCTTACTTGAAACCTTAAAGCAAGCTTCTTTGTACTCTTCCCTTGAGTATTCTAGAATTTGGTTGACCTCTCCTGATGGCATATTTACTTGCTCAACCTCCTTTAAATCCCTTACCTCATCTAGCTCTCAAGGAGTGCACTTTCCAGTTAAAGTAATTTGGAGTAAGCCCATCCCACTAAAAATTCAAGCTTTCTGCTAGGAATTTTTTCTTGGTAAGGTAAATACTTGTAACATTCTGCAAAAAAAGGCCTATTGTTTGTCTCTCTCCTCACATGTGCTTCGTTTGTAGGGGTAACAATGAGACTTTATCTCACTTACTTTTCTCTTGTCCTTTTCTGCTGAGAAGGGAGTTTTTTATTCTCTGTTGGGGTGCAGGTGGGTCCCACCCCCAGATGTGGAGGGTCTCTTCAACCCTAACTTCTAGAGGCAACCTAAGAAAAGGGGGAAAGTGCTTTGGAAAGCCACTAAGGCAGCAATTCGTTGAGTGGTGTAGGAAGAGAGAAATAGCAGAATTTTCTTGGAAAATAGTCAAAGCTTGGATGCAGTGATAGCCAATTCCAATTCTGATTCCCAAGGATTTTCATTCCGATTCCAATTCTAATCCTGACTACAAACAAAAAGAACCCTAAGGTTCTTATTTTGGTAATAAAATAAAATTTATTAAAATAAAAAGAGAGAGTACAAAGAAGGTAACAAGAAGTCACCCGAGAGAAGAAAAGAAAGATCAACACCACCCATCACCAACACTTCATCTTAATAATACTACACTACTAGAGAGAAAGAGAGAGAACACAACAATTGTCCCAAGCAAAACCAGAACCTGTAGAGTTTACCCTCCCCCCTCCCCAAATTAACCAAATAAAAGACAAGACCTACAAAATACACTTTATCAGAACCCATAGGGTCTTCACCAAGGCAAATCAGCCCTTATTTACTTGCTCCAATCATAGATGAATTCACTAAACATATAGGGGAAGAGGCTCCATGGTTCTTGCTATTTGATAATGGCTTGTTTTAATTGATCATAGTATTAAAGGATTAAATGTAAAACTAAGTTTATTGACAAATACCTTGGTAACAAGAGGTTTTAAAATAGGGACTAAAACAAAACATATGCTATGTAAATTTAATAATAATAACAACACCAACAACAATAATAATAATAAGAGTGCAAATCAAGATACAGTTTAGACACCAAGAGATAGCTCAGTGTGACCTTTTCTAGTACCTTAGTTCAATAGTTTATAAACAAGGGAGATATTGAAGGGGATGTTGCTCATCAAAAAAGAACTTACAAGAATGTCGCCCATAGAATTAAAGCAAGATAGGGAAAAATGAGGGGTGCATGCAGAGTCTTAAGCATAGGCAAATACAACTTAAATTAAAAAGAAAATTCTGTAAAATAGTTGTAAGGCCAGCTATGCTGTATGGAGCAGAGTGTTGGGCAATCAAGAAACCACACATCCAAAAAGTGAGTGTGCAGAAAATGTGCCTGCTTAGATAAATGAGTTGAAAAACTAGAAAGAAGGGTCAAAATTGAAGTCATTAGAAGAAACCTAGGAGTAACTCCAATAGGTGATAACATGAGAGAAAGTAGATTAAGATGATTTGGTCCTAAGCATAGAAGACCACCAACAACACCATAAGAAGAAGTGATCTGTTACAAGTTGAAGGGAATAGGCGGGCTAGGGGCAGACCAAAAAGGACATGGATCGAAGTAGTAAGAAATGGTTTACGTGCTCATAATTTAACAATGGGCATGGCATTAAACAGAGCATAATAGAGAAATTGGATTCATGTAGCTAACCCCATATATTTAAAACAAGGCTTAGATGATGATAATGATGACGACGCCAATGATGATGATAGGAGAAACATGTATATACATGTGTAAGTATATATATTTAACCAACATATTGTTACCTAACTTACCTTGAACATCATAACATGAAAATTATACTAAACACAACCATGTAGCCAAAAGATCCCTCGTGTGTTTTCCTGCTTCCAGACTCTAGACAAAGCTAATATGCACATCTTTTCTGATCACCTAAGTGCTAAATCACTTTATAATATGCCACAGTCAAGTGTTAAAAATCCCAGCTAATTGGACAAACCTAACCATTGAACATATGGATTATCTTTCCCCAGCATTCACCTAGTATCACCTATGCAACAAAGACCAGACACCCAACAAACACCACACAAATCTTTCAAATAAAGGCGAATTGCAAAAGTAAATAGTTATCCCCCACTTTTACTAACAAAAACTGCTTCACAAGCCCATTTGTTCTCTGAAGTTCTGTTCTTTTCCACAGGTGCATGCAAATAAAGAGATGATGAGAAGAAATGTCCTTAAAGAGACTATAATTCTAGAATAGGATTTCTTATCTGACCCCAAATGGGAGGACTAACAATTTATCTACTGATCCATTGATACAGAAGTAGAAACCATAAAATAATGATAGCATCAAGAGAAGCCAATTAGCAAATACAACAATAAATTCTCAAAGATCAAGAATAAAAACTCAAAGAAATAGATTTGGCATACAAACAGAAAGTCACGCAGTTGAAAAACACAAAACTTAGATCATCACAATCCCTTCTCCATAACATGCAATATTTCTTTGACATACAAACAGAAAGTCACCAGTTGAAAAAACACAAAACTTAGATCATCACAATCCCTTCTCCATAACATGCAATATTTCTTGTTAATATCAAAACAATGAATAATTAAGAGAATGGCAGCGAAGTTGGGATGGAAAACATACTCAGTTGTTGGTCTCTCAGATGCAGCTGCAACGTTTACTGGGGCCCTGTAACAAGAGGATCCATAGTGATAGGTCAAAATTACTAAATCCAAGGATGCACTACAAGAATGAATGTATTATTAACTTACGGTGCCTGTGAAGGAGCCTCAGGTGCAGCAACTGGAGCTGGTGTAGGTGCAGCAACTGGAGCTGGTGTAGGTGCAGCTGCTGGAGCACTTGTTGCAGGCTGTTAAAAGATAGGTCTTAGCCTTTATTCAAAATATGAAACTACTTAATCAGGGAAAAAAGGTTACACCCCTTGAGCACTAAAAAATGAAGATACCTGAGCAGACGAGGCCCCAGATGATCCCAAGGCTTTGGTCTGCAGATATAACAAGATTTTAGAACTACACTTAAGGAATGAAATAAAAACACTTTCCATTATGGTTCAAGCATGATTTATGATCAAACTACTATCTTGAAATATGACACAAGCAAAGTATATCTCAAGTAATTGTAGCTGACAGGTCATCCCATAATGTCACAATTCTACTGCAGTTTTGAAATTTTGCCAGAACTAGTGAAGGGGTTGCTATAAAGAAAGGTTTTGATGTAGAACAAGATTCACAATGTTAAACTATAGCCATAATATGTAGAGACAATATCAAATGAGACCTATTTTATGAGGGGGAAAAGAAGAAACATGATAGAGCAATCTACAAGTTGGCATGTAGGCTTTTCTAGGTGTTCGCATCTAGGGAGTTAACACTTAATAGCGAATAAAGAAAGTGCAAGGGGCATTTTGCGCCCAAGGCGTGCACCTTTTTGAAGCAAGGCGCAAAAATGCAAAAAAAGGCAAAAAAATTAGAAATGCTAGACATAATATTAATTAGAAATATAAACTTAAATTTTAAAATAAATGTTTTAATAAAACCTATTATATCAAATTAAAATAGTTAAACATAGCATGTAAAACATATTTAAAATAAAAATTTAAAAATAAAAATCAAGAAAAACATGTACAACATATTCAAGTATGGAAAACTCTCAATCTCTTTATTTTTTCCTCAACTGCATTACTTCAAACAGCTAATGAGATGTTAAATGTTATGCATTCCTGATTTTATGGACCACCTTTGTACCAAGCCCCTCGAGGCAAGTCCAAGCAAATCCATATAAGAGTCTTAAATTCTTAATCCCTATAAAAAAGATTTTATAATTCTAATTGTCTTTTAAAAACATCTTTTATCAGAGCCTTTTAATTGTTGGCTCATTCATTCATCATAAAAAAAAACGATATTTTTAAAAGACAATTAAAATTATAAATCTCCTTTTATAGGGATAAAGAATTTAAGACTTTGATATGAACTTGTTTGGGGTTGTCTCAAGTGGCTTGGTTGGGGGTCCAAGGGCGGCCCAAATGCTCAAGATAAAAAACAGAAAAATGCATAAACTTTCTAAAGGCTTGCAACAGGGCTGAAGTGGAAGGCACACCAGGCGTGTGCCTTTTGAAAATGCTGCTCTTGGAACCTAGGTGAGCATCTCTTTGTCTAGGCATGACTAAGGTGCACCTTTTAAATCATTGATTAATACTTGAATTTTTAGTATTAACTCCTCATCTGACACCATGTCCAGCCACATCTGAGCAACATAGCCCGGCTCCACTTGCCATGCCCTGCCATCCCTGTAAATTGTGATTTCCATAGACTACCATCAGAAAGTAACCAATTCCAGCCAACCACTACTAAGAAATCCACTTCTACTCAAAGTCTTTGCATCCTATAGGAGAAACAGACTCCTAACAATCCATCAAGAAAATCGAAACAGGCTCTTAACCCCTATAGCATGAAAGTATCTTGACCTTTACTGCTTTTTCCCTTCAAAATCAAGCCTGAATATATGGAAATTAGCTCATGTATCAGTCCTTTGAAGGCTCCAGGATAGTATCTTGACCTTTACCGCTTTTCCCTCTAAAATCAAGCCTGAATATATGGAAATCCATGTACCAGTGCTTTGAAGGTTCCACCCATACCAGAAGAAACTGGTTTCATTATTTAACATCGCTCAAGGTTTAGTTTGATCCATGCATAATCACCTGTCTAAGGGAAGCAAACATAAAAGAGATTTGACAACCTCTGATGAAAAAGTCAACAAGGACACCTGTAAAATCTTCTCATGTAGATATCCAATGATCTACCACTATTGTACAGGCCAGTTATGACTTCCACCTCTGCCTTTTTAACAAGAAATATTTATAATTACTGTCTTCCCAAATGCTCCAAAGCATTGCTGGCCTAGTGCACCTCCACAAAATCCTAAAATAAGTGCCTTCTAAGTGTAACTGGAGCAATACCCTTAAAAGCATATAAGATGCATAGTTTTCAAGACGATGCCTAGGCGATAAAGTACCCTTGGAGGCTCACCTTGCCTAATTGCCAATAAGTTTTGTATGTTGTGTTATTAAATACGTTTGTATTCTTAATTTTTTGAGATTATAATTATAAAATAGTCATTATTAAACTAAAATATTCATTTTGTGTGTTTATATACTAATTTCTTTTTATTATTTGCTTATTTGTTAGGGTTTAATTAACATAGACATAGCTAACTGCTGTGTTGAACCCTCAAAGACTTAAAAACCTGAACCAACAAGGAAGAACTTAAAAATTTGTCTAACCATGAAGTGTATACTTCTCTTGTGAACCCTATATTTTTTTAATTTTCTTTTCTTTCTTCTTTATCTTCTCATGAATATGTTGATTTTCCATACTTTAACATGAAGTTTATACTTCTCTTATGAAAATTATGGATAGTTATTAAGGAAATATGGTTATGGAACCTAGGGAACTACCCTAGCGACAAGGCAGCCCCTCTCTCCTAGCCTCACCATGGCGCCTTGAGAACTACACCAACATGTTTTTTATCTGAATATACATAACATATTCAAGCGTCCACTCCTACCATTGAGGAAAGAAGACAACAGAAAGTTTACACGATATCAAGTGGGTTACTTCTCACTTAATAGTGAATGGCTAGATACCTAGTTAAGTTTAACAGAAGCTACACCACTGTGCAACAATATCCTACCATTTTATAAAGGCTAGTAAAGGAAACAACCTGAAATACTTTAAAAGTATTAGAATCAAGGTTTTGATCCTCTTCTCTGCCTCTGATCATCTAATGGATATAATGTTCTAATAAAGATAGCTTTCAATTGTATGGACCCCTTTACTCAAAAGGGAAATGTCATGAACAGTATTAAGGATAGAATCACATAGACAACATCCAGTGCCAGAAAATAATAAGCTGATATTAGCACAAGTATAATGAAAGAACTAGGTTAAATCTGTAGCTTCTCCAACAAAATGAGAAGCATCAACACTTAAAATAGAAGAAAAAGGGAAAACGAAGCATCTGCACAATTATGATGTAAGAATAGTCTCCTGAAAAGATACCATGTAAATACAGAACATAAGAAAGATATTTAAGCTTTGAATGTTAATCTGGTAGAAGCAACCAAACCACCGTCAAGATATGACTAATAATTGTACAAATCACCCTAGAAAACATTCTTAATTACAAATTCGGAAATTAGCAATACAAAGGTTCGGAATTAAAAAAAAAAAAAAAAAGAATAGCACCGGAAGGTCATGCTGTTGTTATAATACAATAAAGGAAAAGAACTACTACCTTGCTGAGCATGACAACAAGAAAACCGTCTTCACTAACTTTGTTGTCTTCCAATGTGGTTTCATCTTTCAAAACCTTCCCATTATGGATCAACAATTGCTGCCCACATGGATAGCTGTCTTTTCCTTGTACATCCTCAATAGTTTTCTTTACCGCCATAATCTAATAAACAGATGAAACAAATAAGTTAAATCAAGTTAGCATAAATTGTTATGCAATGTCGGTAATCCCAATACAACAAGAAAATATGAAAGCCCTATAACAATATGATATGTAGTCCATTAGTTAAGAAAATAAACTAATGTTCTTTTTTTCTTTTACTTAGCAAGATATACGGTCTCTACTGAGCACAAACCCGTCCATACGAATAGCCAGAATGCCAAAAACCTAGCCTTTTTTTTCAAACCCCAAAATCCATCCGTCCCCAGAAAACAACCTTCATTACGAAACAGAACTCACCGTCCTTATGTCCCTATGAAAATCCGTTAAACAAGCTGAAAGCTTTAGTCAATTTGGATTGAGATTAGCCATTAGCTAATGAAATTGAGTAATAAAACCTTATGCAGGTAACAGAAATAAACAAAACGGAAGAGGACTCACCGTATCGCCGGGCTGAACCCGGATTTCAAAGTGGGTGCCTTTCAATGTCTTTACAGTCAGCTTCATCTCGACTAACTTGCAGAAGACAAGATCAATTTAGATGAATGTGAGAAGAGGAGAAATGACAAAAACCCTAAAAGGGAAACCCTAGAGCGCTCGGAGATCGGGAGAGAGGGACAGATAAAAAGGAGTGGGAAAAATAAAGAAGAAGAAGAAGAGAAAGAAGGCGAGACGGTGCATTAAAATATATATACGGTTCAGTTCACACAAGATATTTCGCAAAACACAAGACTACAAGAAGACAGACCAACCACGGAATACGTACGTTTTTAGAAGAAAAATAGGTTTCCCAATCGGATCGGGCCGGCCAAGTACGGACTACGGAGCTTCCCCCGGTCAAAACTGGGCCAATCACGATACAGCACGTCAAACTAGATTATGTGGACCCTACATATACAGAGCCAACCTGGTGTATCGTGATTGGCCGTTAAACTGTAGAGCACTCGGGATTAGGCTGATCTAACCAGGGTCCATGCCGGTTTCGTTGTATAAAGTTTTCAATTGGTCGGGTCTCTAGTATGGATCAGGAAAAATCCAGAGAAGGTCATGAACTCATTAATAAATCTGTAGAAATAGGGATGTTAACGGGGCGGGTTAATAAGCACGGATTTGGTTCACCACGAACCCGATCTGAATCGGCCTTGACCCTAATCAGACCCGACCGATTGGATAAGGATGGGATACCGAACCTGACGTTAACCCGTGGCTCATATATATACTTATACTCAACCGACGTTATTAAAACAAATGTTTCAATGCTATAATGTCCACAGGCTGGGGCGGGCTTGGTACAGATCCACATCAATCCGAACCAAATCTAAAACCTGATTAAGGACCAACCCGAAAAAGTCAAATAAATGTGGATTTATCATTTAGGTGGCATTGGGTAAATCAGAAGTCTAAAAAGCAAAAAGAAAATTCGAACAAGCGTATAAAATCTACTTTCCTACTGTTTCAAACATTTAAATGTAGTGGAGTTGTTCGGTAATTGGAATGCTATGGCATCTGAAAAAGTTGTATTTTACAAACTTACCCTTCATGTTATTATTTAAACAAAAATAATTAAAGTAAAATGGTGTTATAAAAAAATAGTACAAAAATAATAAATAATAAAAAACATGATAAATAATCAATAAATAATAAAAATGATAAAATAGTAAAATATATTTTAAATATAATAAAAATGTATAAAAATAAAATAATGATAGTGATAAAAATAAATATATAAAAAGATCATTTAATAATAATAAATAATATAAAATGTAATAAAGAGATTTGTAAATAGTAAAATAATGTAAAAAAGATAAAATAGTAAAAAATTATAAATATGATAGTAGAAATTATCATAAATAGAATAAATAATAAAAATAATATAAAATAAATAGTGTAAAAAAGATATGGGTAGTTTTGCATAATATAAAATAAATAATATTAAGATATAGGATAGTTTTTGGTTTTTCAAACATTTAGGTTGCATTTGGAAGCGATGCAAATGGAGTGTAAATCCCGATTCAGGGTAAATTTGCACTATGGTTCACTTTTGCACTATGCAACATTACATTTATGCATTGACAAATGACAAACCAATGCATATTTACATTGATAATAAGAGTAAAAGTACATCAATAAAAAAGAAGTAAATTTGCATTCAAGTGGGCTTTTAATAAAAAAAAAAAAGCATATGCTTTATTGGAATTCATGTTTGCATCCAATACAGCTAAAAGTCTATTTGTTAAGAAGGTAAATTTGTTAGTGCAAAACTAACCCAATTTTGTAATTTATATGAACCGTTTTACACTCTACAGATTTGCATTCACACTTATTTGCATCTTTTCCAAGCTCATCCTTAAAGGGACACTACTGGAATACAATTTTCATGTTCTACCTCCAAATCCGCTCAGAGGTAGCTTAGTGTTTAAATCATTCATAGCATTTTTTGATGTTCAATGGCTCCATTAAGAGGTAAAACCGAAAGACCACCAAACATTGAAAAGCAAAATTTTCAGTATTTGGTGGTCAATTTGCGTTACCAAACGCCACCTTAATTTGACCCACTAAGATGCTTAGAACTAGTCTTGAACCATCCCTAATAGGATTTTTTATTATATACCCACACTTTAAAGGTAGACCCGTTCGTGGGTCGGGTAGCCCGATGGCTCGGGCTTGACCTCGGGCCCAAAACACCAAGCTCTTTTGTGTTTCAGGCTGGACTTGGGATTTGTCAAAAAAAAACGGCCCAAAACACAATCGGGCTGAACTAATGATATGTGTTGGGCTCGGGCTTGGGCCCAAGCCCGGGCTCAAACCCAAGTTGTAGGGCCGATGGTCATGCTAAGCTTGGGCACGGTCCTTAAAAAAATCTATTAATGAAGAGTGAAATCATAGCCCATGAATAGGTTTATTTAGCGGAGTTGCATCCCTACTGCCACAACCAACCTAATTTAACGATACGATCAGTATCAAATTGGGGCTATCTCTATATTTTTGCTAATAAATAATCAATCCATGATAATCAAAGCTAATCTCAACCCAATAATCTATTATTATTATAACCAACCTTGTGGATCAACAACCATTTTAGAGCTCTCAAATCATTTAAATACAACTACAACTATTTGTAGATGATTAGTTGCTATATTCTTTCTTTGGCTTATTTGCTCTGTCTTGACATTTGAAATGTAGATTCTTTGTACTTCCTATAATTCTTTCTTTTATGTTGTTCTATTATTTCCTAGTTTTTTTTTTTTTTTTTGCCTTAGCTCCTAATGTAGGGTTTTCTCCCCCTTAAGGTGAGGTTCTTATAATTTCTTTACATTTTGTAGGATGAATCGAGTAGAAGATAATATTCAAGTGCTAGTTGCAAATATGCATAGAGATAATGAGGAAAGAAACTTTGGCATGCTTGATTTTATAACAATCTATTTCAAGATGTTATGGAGGATTAGGGTTTGTCTAATGGGTGGTAATTCCCTAAGATTACTATTCATGTTCAAGCATTTGTAAAGCTCGGTTTGGGAAGAATGCAAATGCAAATTGAGCCTAAGGTGAACACTATGTAGGGTTTAAATGAATATAAAATGAGCTTTTCCTTTGCAAGAAATCTTTTTACGTGCATATTTAGATATAAGGATGACTAATAGGTTGTGCTTAATAATTTGGGCGTTGGTATCCATAAACCAATGGGTTCTCCTTAATGAATGCTTTGTATGGCTGTCCCAATTGAATTAGAATATTAAAAAAGCCGAAGTTTCAATTCGAGACCACAACTTACCCCTCAAGCATGTTAGGTTGGATATTGGGGAGGGCTTTCATAAGGGCACATAAGCCCTCCCACAACTTATCCCTATGAAAGCCCTCCCATAAGGGCACATAATCACTCTAAACTACTATTTATGCTTCAAAAGTGATTATGTGCCCTTATTGGAGGGCTTTCATAGAGCAACTTCTAGTGTTGCAATATAGTCCCACATGGAAATCCATGAAACTATATTTGGTGAAAAACCTAAAAAGACAAAAACATGCTTACATGAACTAAGATATTGACATTTTGGTGAGGCAATTTTTGATAACTTCTCCGAGGTGGCTCAACCAACAAAACTCAATCAGCATTAAAGCCCTCCCAAGCAGGCCCTATTTATTGATAAACATTAATTTAAAGGCTGGGGCTTTTGTTAATTTTTAGGTTTGGGCAATTTATCAATATGAGAACCTACTTTACATTTTCTTGAGGGTGTTGGTAGCTTTTTCCAATCTAGAGTTATAAATCTCCCCAAACCATAGATCAAGGTTGCAATTCCTCTTAGAAGAAAAGGCCATACTCAGAGTGATTTTGTCCAATTATAGGTTGAGGAAGAATTGGAGTTAAGAGAACTCGTCTAGTTTTGTTTTTGGTTCCCAGGCCAATGGTGCTAGATAAGACGATCAAGATGATTCTAAAAAGATTGATAGTGATGAAGCCTATTCGCATAGCCCAATCCCGAGCTACCATGTGTCCTTGAACAAAATACTCAAGAAACCTGCTAATGACCCAAACCAGCCTAACTACTGAATCGACCAACCAACCTCACCCCAGCACCTCTAGCATGCCAAGATCTAAGGTTGCCAATGATTTGGGTTTGGTTCAAGATTGTACTAGTACCAAATCAATTGCTAAAACTGATAGTACCAGAACCAAACCATACCCGGTTGGTTAGATAAAATCAAAACTAGTACTAGTACCAAGCCAATGGGTAACAGGGACAATTGGATCTAACCTAATTATACTTGAATAAAAAATCCTATTAATGCTTAATACATGTATTTTGTGGTGTAGGTGGATAATAGGTATGTGACACTGGGAATGTCTACCTAAAGGATGGTAGATGGCAGTGGGGGTGTTCCCTATGAGGTTAAGAATGACAACGAGTAAAGAAGTAGGGAAGGCATTTTTGGGATAATAGAGCTTATGCAAGGTTTCCATAACGAGTATGTGATGATCTCTAAATGTCTCCTATTTATAGAAGTTCCTCTTAAGGAAAGAAGGGGAAGCTTTCCCGCTTTGGATAGGAAATCCAAAGTTCATTAGATCCAAATTGATAAGTGAGCCAGGGTTTCGCCACATGTTTATGCAGATATGTCAATATCGAAGATCTTTTTTCTCCTAGAGTATACACATGAGCATGAGTGTAAATAATCTCCTTCTAGAAGCTTGACTCTATGCAGCACTAGAGGGGTTTCTCTAAAAAATTCTTAAATGTTGATACAAAAATGATAGATCATATCGTAGGGTCATGATGCCTTGAGATGTAGAGCAAACGTATCACAATACATTGCATAATTTTTTTTAGGAAGATGAGCTGAAGGACTAAGGTGTGGTGTGTTGTTATGGTGTTTCTACATGGAGATTTGGGAAAGGCCGTGAGTGTGCCTATGGGAAACAATGCGCTAAAACATTGTTTTAGTTCTTCATTGCATCGTCATCATTTATTTTACATGTTGTCCATTTGTGTAGGCTCACTATAAGTTGGTCTTTGTAGGTAATGTGATGCCAAATTCCATGTACTTACAGGAAGGAAGAAAAACATTTTATTCAACTTGTAAAGAGACAACAACGTATAGCAATCTTGATGATGATGGGAAAAATGACCACAATAAATGTCAATTTAACAAGTTATATTGATTACAAATAGCATGCATATAAAAT